ATTAGGTGAATACCTTTCCAAATATGAATAGCTTGTGATTCCGAAGAAGACTTTTAAGAAAATGATTATTAGTATATCCATTGTAAGAAGCTGGTCAGCTTATATGCTATAGCTAGTAAACAGTATAACAATTCTTAATTTTCATAATTTTTTTATCACATTGATTAAAAAAACCATTTTCCATGGTATAATTCAATTACAAACATTGCATAGTATAGTGAGATATGTAATTCACATCGGGTCTGCAGCATTGGTTGAATAATTTTTCCATTTATCATTACATAATACCTTCCACAGTTTCCAATGAGATATGATACTCTCTCTACCTTTGACATTTAAAGTTTTGCTGAAAATTAAGATATTAATAATTTAAACTTTATAAAACTATTACTTTTTTGGTTATATTTTTATTTATTATACCAATTGATTTTTTAAATAAACATTAATCATGCAGTTGTACAGATTTAATTTTCGGCAGCAGAAGAAGAGCACACACACTGATACTTGGTACTGTCTCTTGTTCTGAATTCTAAGAATTTGTTCTTGCTTATCTTGTTTGTGCATAGTGCATACCAATTTGTGACTCCAACGACTTATATTATAGAGCTGTAATCATCAAAGGGAATAATCGGCAAAGAACAAAGGGAAAAAGATCTTCTGATGTCTAGTAGGAATTTTCAAAATGTATATTTTGTGTTCTGAAATTCCTATCCTTAGCGCCGACATTGTAACTTGTGAGAATTACGCAGCCTTTATAATTTTTTTAACGACCTTGATATTCTCTTCGAAGTTAAATATTTTTAAATAATAATTTTTATCAAAAATATATTTATTGAATTCAAAATATAATAGATAATTACTTAATAAAAATTATTTTAATCTAATGCTGATAAAAATATTTTTACTTTTCAAATAACTTCCAATTTTATTTTATTTTTAAAAAAAATGTGATCTAATTCTCATAATTTTTTATATAATTTTTCTATTAATCTTTCATATATTTTTTATTACTGTTTCTTTTAGGTGCCATTTTTATCTGTCCATTTAATTTATTTGAGTATCTTACATTTGTAATTTATTTTTTTTAAATATTATAAAATTTTTATTTAGTCTTCAATTTTAAGACATGCGTAAAAAATTGTATAAACAAATATAGAATAATAAAAAAATTTCACTGAAATAATAAAATAAAATATCATTTAAAAAATAATAAAAACGAATTTAAACCTATTTTTCTTTTGTATAAATAAAAAATATTTTTTAAAAAGGTATTTTTAACCGTTATACAATCTAACGTTAAGCTGTGTTTTTAATTGATTGTCCTTATTTTGTTATTAAAATTTACTATTTCCAACGTATATAGCCACTGTTTAGGTTGTCAAGAAATCAAACGCATTGGGGAAATGCTAGTGGATACCAACTGGACATGTAATATTTGCGCCATATTTTAAATAAAAAATAATCAATAAAATAAGTAATTTGTTGTATATTGTTAAGCTAGCCCTAACATTATTCTGTAAAAGGCATCAGTTTAAAGGTTGTTTGAAAGATATACGTAAACTATATATACAACATGACACGCTATCTATGTTATCACTTATCACTCCAAACTAACGTATACATATACATATCTAATAATATTCCCCTCTTTTGAACATTTCTATATCTCGAAAGTACAAAATGTGCTTCCCAATTCACAGGAATATTTATACATGTTCTCATTTTTAAAAGGGTGATATATGTATTTAAGAAAAAATTGTATTGTCATTCTTTTATATCCAACACTTTTTATTTAAGTTTTTTTATTTAAATATTTGTATTAGTAATTTAATTAACAAATAAATAAATTATTTTAAAAATTATCAATAAACATTTTAATGAAAATAATTTGCCATGTCAATATGAGAATCGAATCTCCGTTTATCAAGTTCCGATGTGTTCAATTAGACATCCATGTAACATATGCAGTATTGATTAGCTGCCATTAAAGAGAACTCATAAGGGGGGAATATATATATATAGTCGCCAATCGCCAACCAATAAGGTAAAGATTATTCGTTTGGAATCAATACCGAAGTGGAAGTGTGACATGTTTAAGAATTTAAGTATATCAATGAAAAAAGAAAATTGTATGCGTAGTGATAAAAAAATTCAAATATGCAATAGGAAAAAACAGATTGGTTTTTGAGGCTCCCTATTAGAGTTTAAAATGCCTTAAAAGGTAAATATCCAAACTTTCATCTAGGCTTTCATATATTAGGGAGAGAAATAAACAAAGAGAAAATTGCAACAATATTGGTCACAATTTAATATACAACAATGACACATATAAGCGATTTCAATCAGTTATAAACAAGTGTAGTTCGCATCATAGAATCCTAATATCAATTACTAGAATTAGACATGAGAGATCATTTAATGACTGACCTTAATTTAACTTGCTTATCTCATTTAAACTATTTCTTACGATAAATAATTTGATACAGAACCAGTTAAATATTGAAGGAAAATATAAAAAGAAAAGTGTACGACCAATAAATTAAGATAATCGAAAACTCCAAGTATCTACTGTTATTGAAAAGATAATGAAACTCATAAGTACATATGAAAACATTACTTCCCACTAGAGTCTTGGGGGAATAATATCGGACCGGTGTGAATTAGAGACTAGGGTTCCAAAGAAATCAAGAACGTTCATTTTTATGGTCCGAACCATATCTTAAAATTGGACGCACATATTAAATGGAAAAGATTCAAATTGCACAATTTCACAAATACGTGGGTTTCTATATTGGATCGGCATCAGCAAAAGTTGAGAAAGAGACGTTAACGATGCGGAGAATACATAAACGCTAAAAGGGCTTTCTGAAGCTGAACTTACAACATGGAGAATTCGAGACTACTAATCATGATACTACTGACTACCACCCACTAACTCAATAATTGTTAATCAAAATAATAAAGCTCTTCATGTCCAAAAACATGCTGTGCTTGTACTATACGGCATAACATCTACTTCGAATATATTAATATAGTTTAATTCAAACGAACGTAGAGGTCACCTTTAACAAAACAAGATGTTGTGGTTATAGATTTTTTTTTCAATCTATTATAATTATTTGGAGGAACTCTTCTTCATCCATTTATGATGCCTTTTTCACTTTCTATTTTGTCATAGCTACATACAATAAGGATAAGGGTTCGGGAGTAATTAACTTTGCATCAAGAATCTTTAGTTGTAGTACATACTCAATTATGCCCAATTTGAATACAGAAGAGGGCATTTTAATTTTAATGGCTTACAGTTATTATTAATGAAGAAAGAGAATAAGTGATGAAGCAAGTAGATTACAAGTCACGGCTCTTTTTTGTAGACTCCTGTCACTAAATATAGCCTTCTAGTATTGAATAAATATTTAATTAAAATATTTATACAAATAAATCATGTATTAAATTATCTTTTTTAAAATTTTTCATTATGAATAAATAAATTTAATTAATTCAATCGTTTAGCTTAAAATTATTTAAAATATAATTCATAGCTATTATTATATTACATATGTATGAACGTCTAACATGTTGAAAAAAAATTAAATAGATGAGTATTAAAAAGTTTGTGTTCAAAGTATTTTTGTTTATGTTTTTGTTTGGTCAAGGGGCTATCAATGTTCACTTTTCTTAGAAGACCAAATTATAACTTTTAATGTTTAAGGGATTCAATTAATATTAAATTTTAAAATACTAAACCAATGTCCTTTAAAAGTTTTACATATTAGATTGGAGGATTACTATGTAGAAAATTAGGTCACCTTTATGGGGAATAATTTCTTGCCGACATCACACGCACTGGAGATATTTTCTTTTTTGTCTGAACGCACTCAAGATAGAGATACCGGGTTTTGAGCGCATGGCATTGGGTATTAAAACTATTACAGCTCACATTTTGATTGGGCCTTGGCCTTTTTATGTTCAGTACTTGAGCCCAATTTAAAAGATACAACATGGGAACCTTTTTTTATTGCCACGTGTAAATGGAAGTGCGTCTGTAATTGTTTGTGAACTCTTTGAGATATCCTGTGACCCAAAAGAAAAACAGTCTTGTTATCCAACCTTGCTGAGCTTTTGTCTCTGTGCAGTATCTGTTTATTGGAGCTTCGGCTTCTGTAGAAACTTGAAAGAGCTCCTGCGTTGACCTAAAACCTTGCTTGCCTATGTTTTTATATTTTGTGTCAACCAGCAACGTTGTTCGTGTTTGATTTTCCAGTGCATATTGGGCTGTTTTGGGTGAACCAAAAAATATAAACTTGAGGTATGTCGATTATGGAAAAGGCTATATTTTCGTAAGCAAAACTACCCCCTTTCCCCACAATCAGGGTAAAATGAGGATTAGGTGCAATAAATTGAAATTTATGTCATATAAAAAATGCATTTGAATAAGTAATTTAATTAAGTACTGGTTTAATCATTTTTTCTTAAAATAATAATATAAATTTGATCATAAAACTTAATAAAATAAAATATTTTTTCATATATTATCCCAAAAAAGATGTTGAAATAAACTAAAAAAATTTATGAAAACTAAAAACTACTTTTATAAACTTTTGATAAACCCCTTTCCATCCAGCCTTGGTAAATAAACTATATTCGCTCAACAAATATTTATCTCTTTTAATCAATTTCGTTCACTAGACTATAAATTTAATGACTGAAATTATGCTGAATCGTGGCTGGAAAGAGAGCTTCATGAAAGGATCCAAGTTGGCCACATCTCTATCAGCTGTTAACCCAAGGTAAATATTGTCTTGTTTACTGTTGGCGAGTGGCCTACTACACAACGCACGGCAATGTTGCTATACCTCATCTTTGTGGCATGTCTAAGATAACGCCTCATGTATTGGACAAACTTCGCAAATCAACAGTAAAAATTGTGCATAATCTATACTATACATCATCTAAATTAAAATAATGAAAATGGTCCCCTTCTAGAAATTTGAATCGCCAAATTTATCCTGATATTATTTTATGTATTCAAACAAAATAAAAGATAGGGGATTGGTTCTATCAATCGCAGACTTTTCCACCATATGTATGTGTACCACTATATAAGGACAAAATCTACCGCAAGAAAACCAACGTTAAAATTCACAAATAAGAGAGTATTTTAATTTTCTAGTGACAGCAAATTCACGAAATTGAGACTATCATGTTACACGTGAAATATCATCTTGATTTTTTTTTTTTTCGAATAAGCGAAAAAGAGAGAGCGAGGAAATGAAAAATTGTGTGTTCCGTTGCATAGGAGGAAGGATCCAAGAAAATGGGTGATGAATTTCAGAAGATGTCGAGAATCTCGAGAATGGAACGGTTGCAAAGGGGACAAGTCCCTCGGTTCAGCCACAGCTCCCTTGAACACACCCTACAGAATGTGTGCCCACATGGAATGAAAGCCGCGCCTTTCTTCCTCCCCATGCACACGCAGCACACCGAATCATTACCCGCCGTCCCTTTTTCCGCTTCCACCTCCGCATCCCCACCCTCCGTTTCCTCCAACAACCGCATCAACGACACCCTCCACGGCGTCTCCGCCACCCTTCTTGCCTCCCCCTCTCCGCCCGCTTCCGCTTCCCGGAACTGTCGCTCCGCCGCCAGCGCCGCCGCTAGATTCATACCCGAACTCGACGGAGTCGGACCCACACACTCTGGTTCAACCGGGTTCGGATCTTGAGCCGCGATGGTTTGCTGGTGTTGGTTTTGCTGCGTTCCTCCTTCGTCCCTGACGGTTAGGGTTGCCGGACGGAAAACCCATGTGGCCCCACAACAACCGATTCCGGTAAATCTGAGGCGTTCTTTGAGAGTTCGCCTCCTCCGTGGGCCTCTGTCGACGGCGTCCATTTGCTCCGTTAACAAACCGAGAATGGTTCTGGCTTCTCTTTCGTTACGCAGCGATTCCTGCAGTATGAGACCGAGTTGACTCATGTCGACGCGGAGGCAGACGATTTAAAATTTTCAAGAAGACATAAAGAAACGGATCAAAGATTAGAGCACAGAGATCCCGTGAGGTTCTTGAAGAACATTTAAAGAGAATCTGAAAAATGACGGAACCCAAAAACGGGCGGGTTCAACGTAAGGCAACTCTTGACTCCCCGTCGTTGAAAAGACAATAATTGGAAGTGTGTTTGTGTTTGTGAAAGAGAGATACTGAAACGAAAGACAACAAAGGAGGACAAAATAGAAGGGAGATAAGGCAGTGGAAGAAAACAAAAGGAAAACGAAACGGGGTTTTTCTACAGAGGACTATTTTGTTTACATTTATTTATTCCTTTTATTATTATACTCCACCACTTTCAGTAACACAACCCAAAGCCGAATGCGTTACACATTACATTTACATAAAAACACCACTTGTTGAAAACTTTATTCTCCCTGCTCCATATATTAATTATTTTCAGTTGTTTCATTGATGCTGCTACCTTATAACATGTAATACAAAATTCGCCTTTTTTATTTTTCATTTTTCTGCCGCCTCATAATTGTTGCTTCTTCTGCTGACCAGTCTCAGCCAATAAGTCAAAACCCACTGGCCATCCAATTGCCCAAGCGGTTTATTAAATTCAATGAATCAATAATCGTCTTCAAAATTGTTTGTAAACTAAACAATAAGTCCAACTTCAGACACTATTTGCTACGAGGGACTAATCATGGTGACTATAATCAATTATATTTCATGATAATCATTCCATCCTTTTTAAGAGCTATCACTGTATCAAGAATCTGACATTTTCTCATTCGGCAATACAAAACCTAATTGCGTATCTGCTATATAATTCTTTTCTCCTTGACACTGTAAGTATATCCAAAAGCAAACCAATGGAAACATCATCAAACATTGGTTAACGCAGCATTACTTGACGTTTCATGTTTTAGAAAACCAGACCCCGCACGAACTTCTTAATCCACATAATTTGACATTAAAAAAAAACATATCATATGTTTTATTGTTATTCTTCTACTCAGCTAAACTAGCAGCATTTTCCTTTCCTCTGCCCCTGTTCATTCACTCTCAACATTCTATTGACAATAAAAAGAGGAATACCCTGTTCATATTTTTCTGAAAAATTGAAATCGATAATTTGAAAGGTTTAACGTCCTCTTTATTGGTAATTTTCTTTGCACGCCATTTGCAGGTAAAATTGAAATGTTTTATTATTTGATAGCATTTTTCATTTTGTTTTAATTTTTTGTCGTCTATAAGTTTTATATTTATGCATATATTTGACTTGCAAGTTTTTTTATCGCACTTTGTAAATGTTTGATTGCAATAAAACAATAGAATCAGTCATCTATTTTTATATTGAAAAAATACATCTTAGTAAGTAAGGATAAGCTTATTGTAATTATTATTTATTTGAGTGAAATGAGACCTTCAGACTATACGAATATCATTTTTGTATCAGATTCTCAAGTAAATTATTTTTAAGAAAATAAATGATATCTTATTCTAAGACATGAGAGGTCGTCAGGCTTTAAAACATTTTTTTTATAATATGTTTATAGTTATATAAGATTAACTATAAATTCTTCAACAAATACTTATTTCAAAGTGACATTTGTCATTGCAGTTATGGGTTTATTAGCACTGTTTTTTTTAGATATTTCTATTTTTATTTGTAAAAAAAATCAATCAAGGTAATAATTAAAGAAATAATTTATATTATAAATAAATAAATAGACAATTTCAAGTGAGAATAAATGCTCCCTTAATCTAAAGATGGACACAGACTGTTATCACATTTTTGTTGATACGAAAACAAATTAGCAGTCTATAGACAACATGGATAAAACTATTTGAAAATAGAACCATCTCAAACCAAAAAAATAAGAGTTCAGTTATTGTATTGTTATTTTAAATTTATTTTAGAAAGTTCTTAATCAATCTTATGATACAAGCTTTTATGTAATAAAATTGTTAAATGAAACACTTAATTATAATTATTTATTCTAGCATACTTTTAATCCATTTTTGTTAGTTAGTTTGTTAAATCGTTTACCTTTATATTATAGATTTAAATTCTCATTTTTTAAAATAGCATAAATTTTACACGTAGTTTCCTTTTTCATGTATTCAATTGTCTTTGTCGTATTATTAAGATGCTTTATTTTAAACGTTCATATAAAAGAAGTATTTTTGTGATATTTCCCTCCTTAATAACAACAATACCTTACTTTAACCCATTGAATAAATAACAACAATACCTTAAGCTTTTAAATAAAATCCTAAAAGAAACTAAGAAAGAAAGAAAGAAAAATAAGATTAATTCCACACAAAGCAAATTTGATTACAAATATAAAGACCCAAACATCAACCCATTGATTATTTTAGGATAAAATGAAAAGAAAGATACTGGAGAGAACAAGATTAGAAAAAAGTGTGTTTTTCTTATTTGGTTTAAGTCGTCATTTGACAAAGTAGAAAATGTGAAAGGTTTGCGAAGAGAACTGAGGTTATCTGAGAGACATTTGTTCGAGTAGAAACACAAAGTAGAGGTGAAATTCATGAAGATTTTATTTTCTCACACGAAAAAAAAAACGATTCTTTTTTTGTGTGAAGCAACAAATTCCATTATATTAAAAAGTTGAGACAATACTCGTGTTTTGCATAACCAATCATTAAAAAAAGTACATTACTTACAAAATAATATCAATAATGGCTAGAAAAAAGTGAATGATAAACCGACACTGTCTACGTATCTGAAAACTTGTATTCGATGAGAAAAATATTTAATTTAAAATAGTATTTATTTTTTCTCTTCTTTCACGTTAAAAAAAAAAAATTCCCTCCAAGTCGAAGCATGGTGCAGGTTTGGTTTAGCGAGAGTGGGGGCTTTCAAATTTCAAATCTAGCTAAAAGTAGCCACGTTATGGTCCTCATGAGCATAATCATCTACCGCGATTAATGCTACAATTTATTGATTTATCAATTTAACTTTCAAACTTTTATTGGAATTGAACGTTCAACGGGAGTGTTATATCGGATTTTGTCACGCTAATTGAAAATATTCAATAAACAGGTTATTAACTTGTGGAGTTCAACCTATTCATTCCTGGTCCTGGCATAATCTTTGTGGTTCAATTATTGGCATCGGTTGGTCAATGCAGTCCAACAAATCAATAACGTGGCCTTGGACGTGCACACCAAATACAACTTCAGTCACATACTCACTCACGCGTCTACGTGGAGGCCCGCAATGACGAGAGAGGTTCATTGTAATCATTAACCAAAGTAATGATCACATCCTTTACTATTTTCACACACACAAAAATCCTTTATTATTCAATACTCATTTCCAAAGCAAATGGTATCAGTATTCTTAAATTATTGCTTAACTCTTCTTAAATATTGTTTGGGTTTCTTAGACATAATATTATATCTCATTTTAAAGTTTATATGAAAATTATTATTTCAAAAGTTTTTTTTTAAATTTATTTATTGAATTATAAAAATTAAATATTTATAACCAATTATTAAACAAAATAACTTAATCCTTGCACAACAAATATTTTAATTTTAAATTGTATAATTTTTCTCATATATTTATTAATCCTTCTCCTCTCCTTTCCCCCTCTTTCATCTTCCTATCCAAATCACTAACCCCTTTTTTTTTCCTCTTAGTTTCCTCTTTTTTCTTATTCTCTCTTTCCAATCAAACACAACATAAGGTTAAGTAACTCAATTGCTAAAAAGACTATTAAATTAGGATTGTAAGAGATGCATCAACATATTTGTGAATTAGATTGAATTATTTTACGATCAGATAAAAGATAATACGAGACTTGACTCTGTATAAAATATATACATAGCAATTTAATTTAGACCAGTTTTAAAACATAAATCCAATATAATTTAATTAAAAGTAATTTAAATTAAATTGTATTTGGTAATTTATTTTTTTGTATTAAATATTTTATATAAAAATATATGCTGTACAATAGTAACTTTAATTAGTGTAAAATAAATAAAACATATAAAAATTATAACATGAATCCCTAAAAATCAATAATAAGACGTAAATTTAAAAAATTATAAAAAAACGATCAAGTGTTTCAATTTTATAAATACATGATTGTATAAATATTAGTAAATAATTTATTTTATAAATATAAAATGTATATATACAACTAAGTTCGATTTAGATTAGATTAAATTATTTAAAAAAAATTAAGATTCAATTTAATAAAGTAAAAATATGAATTTTCATTTTGAATTAATTCATTTATCGGATCTTGAATTTAATTTTATGATTTATATAGATCGAATTTATGAACACTCTTAGATGCAATTACTTTTCTAACTGAAGAAAATGAGGTAGTTCCGGATGGAGGGGACTTTATCATGTCTACGGCACAGCACATTACTTTCAAACCGGCGACTTGTCGCTTAGCTGGTTCATTAAACCCAACCTTGTACGCCATCTAATCCTTTTCCGCTGCCCCTCTTGTCGCAGTAACGTCGATTTCTCTCGGTTTTGGCTGTTTGGTACGTAGGAAATTGGAAATAAATGCGACAATGTTATCAGTTAATAAAATGGAGAATTCTTTATTCTTTCTGGTCTACCCCAGCCTTTATAATTTAAAGACTTGTCGAATCTACATCTAATAGAAGGTGGTGGTGCTACTCTGACAAGCTGGTGAAAGTGTAAATAATGAACATAGAGTAAACTTGTAAGGTTCAATTATCGTAATGTAATGAACATGGAGCAAAATTGTAAGTTAATTCGTCAAATTATATTGATTATGCATGTTAATTTTTGTTTTGTTTTTTGTTAATTTATAACTATATAACAAACTAGTTTAATTTTGTCTTATTTTTTATTGTTATTTTGCATTAAAAAGTAAATTGAACGTCATTTATAAAATAAAAAAAGAAATTAAAAATTTTAGAGACTAAAACACATTATTCATACAATTTCAATGACTAATTTTGAAATATTACTCAAAAAATTATATGAAACAAGCCTACTTAATAGTATAAAAAGAAATGAAAATTTTACACAATTGTAATCTTAAATTCTGACATACTGCTTGATGGTTTAAAGTTTGTTTTGCGTTTCTCACCTCTTCTTATGCTTTATTCGGAAAGGAGAAATTTTACCTTGAATTTGAAGCGACCCGGGGTGTGGCAATGCTGTGAAGGAAAGTTAAAAATTGAGCAGAGATTGGTCGGTAACAGAATTTAATTAACAGAGAGTACTGTGAAAAAGCTTTTTCCATTTAAATTATTGTACTCACTCACATAACAACATGTGAGCCTTGTCGGAATTTCCAGTAACTTCAATCATCAGTGGAGAGGGAATTGTATTACGGATTTGAGCAATTGGTCGGAAATGAAGGCGCAGTTGGCGTAAAAAGTCGTTGACCCTTGG